AAGTCCACTCCGGTGATGGCAAAGGGTGGAGCTCGTGTCACCCGATCAGGTGGAAGGGGCGCTGTCACTTGTTGGGCTGGGCGTGTGTTGAAGCGCTGGCAAGTCAAACACTTTCGGATCGTTTGTTTTACCAACTGCCGTCGCCCGACAACCCAGTACCTTTCCTTTAGTTGGACTAACGTGTCCCTCACTCCACCATGAAGCACACGAAGGTGTGATTGTATTGCTAACAAACTGGAAAGTTGTGCTTTTGGGAGGACTATCGGATGACGTTCCCCGTAGGGTTTCAAGCTGTGTTGTAGCCGTCCCTTCACTCATAGAAGGCCGTCACTATCGATAAAAAGCGATAGTTCTCGAAGAGGAGAATCTCGTGGAAGTCTCGTGTTCTCCTGGGTAGATCTAATCTCTCTTGAGAAGTGTTCTCGTTGTTCTTCACGAAAAAAGTAGAGTTCCGCCTCATTAATTTCTTGTGTTCTGAGTGGGCCACTTGTCTTTTCCGTCCGTCGCAAGTTATTTACGTAGCGAAGAATCCAAGCTGTCACTCTGAATGCTCTGTCGGCAGAACTGAAGCGGTTTATGTCTACTACTGGAAGTGCTGTTGCTGGAAGTGTAGTTGTTTGTGTAACTTCAGTTGTCCGTCTTTCCTTCGCGTCTTGTTCTGTTAAGTCCGGAGATGTAGCCAACTTAGGCCAGTAGTCTTCAAGGCTATTGATCCACTCGGGTCCGGACCACCAGAGTTGCTCATTTACTAGTCGACTGGCTTTTATGCTGCGTGTCATTAGGTCTGCTGGATTCTCCTTTCCAGGACAATGTCTCCGACGTATTCTGTTGTTATGACTCTGTATTTCTGTGACGCGGTTCTGGACAAACGGTTTCCAGCGGGTGGCGTCACTGTTTATGCAGTGACACGTAATAGTGGAGTCAGTCCACAAGTATGTTTTCGTTGGTACGTCATGTAAACTTTCCGTCAGGTATTTGTATAATCTGGCGGCGAGAAGGCAAGCCATCAGTTCCAGTCTTGCCAAAGTTAGTGGTTTCACCGGTGCTATTCTTGATTTACTCATCACAATAGTTGATACGCTGTTACCTTCAACGTCGGCACTGCAGACGTACGCAACCGTACCGTAGGCTACGGTGCTTGCATCAGCAAAGATATGCAACGCAACATTCTCTGAACGGTCCTTCGATAGAAACCCGTAAAAACGTGGTACTTGAATCTTGTTAAGTTCGTCTAGTTCGGCACACCACTGGAACCATTCTTCTTTCATATCATCGGGAATGCTATCATCCCAATCGACCTTCCTTTTCCACAGTTGCTGAAACAGCGACTTCGCTCTCACAGTGAAGGGGGATATCCATCCCAGGGGGTCGTAGAGCCTTGCAGTCGTTCTCACGACGCTTCGTTTAGTTTCTTTCTCTTGTTGTTCTAATCTGAAGCTCGTCGTAAACGTCAACCTATCGGAGTCTGGATCCCAGGTGAGTCCCAGTACCTTCAGTACCCCTGGAAGGTACCCGAGGTGAGTCGTGTGGTTTGGATAGTCTTGCTCGAAAAGCTCCTTCAAACGCTTGTTGTTTGAGACCCACTTGTGCAGCGTCATGGAAGCAGAGCTAAATATGGTCTTGGCTTCCGTGTAAATCTTCACGGCTGCTGCTTCTTCATCTACTCCAGTTAGCAAGTCATCGACATAAAACGATTCCTTAAGAGTTTTCACAGTCTCAGGATACTTATGTTCCACACTTTTCGAATGATGTTGAATAGTTGCAGAAAGCAGGAAAGGGCTTGACGTGGTTCCAAATGGAACTCGTTTCATGCGCCAGCATTCCATGGGTGGTAAAGATCCAGAAACCGGCGGAGTCGTTTCAAACCATAAGAAACGAAGCGCATCTCTGTCTGTTTCGACAATTTCAATTTGTAAAAACGCTTCCTCTATATCCGCCACTAGGGCTATTTTGTGTGTTCTGAAGTTAAGCAGCAAGCTCAGGAGGTCCGCGGTTAAATTAGGTCCACTCTCGAGGTTTTGATTCAGTGATTTTGCTTCGTATGCATGTGACGAAGCATCAAAAACCACCCGGAGCTTTGTAGTGTTGCTTGATTCCCGAACCACAGCTTGGTGTGGCATGTAATAGGTCAGTAGTTCGTTCTCGTTGTCACTCGGAACTATGCGTTCTGCCATGTCCTTCACCATGTACTCTCTTATGACGTTATCGTACGCCTGTAGGTTCCCAGGTGTCTTTCGTAGCTTACTGATTAGCTGGTGCAGGCGTTTTATAGCGACCCCCTTGTTGTCCCCAAGGTCCACCCTGTTTTTCCAGGGAAGGGCAACTTTGTACCGTCCATTTACTTGTGTCACAGTTTCTTCAAAATTATTCATCATGGGATCGTTCCCCAGATCGTTCTTTTCGAAATCATTGACACCGATGGTCTCCAGTGTCCAGAATTTCTTCAGAATCTCTGTCGTAGACTCGGTCACTTCAGCATTGAGAGCTGTGATCCGGTAACAAGGAAGCTCCTCTGTGGCTACCTCGACTGGTCCTTGAACGCTCCATCCAAAGACAGATTCAACTGCCCTGAGCCTTCCTTCCAGCTTACGCGACCGTCTAGTGGTCAGCTCCCAGAAATGTTCAGATCCGATCAGAAGATCGATGGTTGTCGGACCCTCATCGTTGGAGAGGTCCCCGATGGAGCAGTTTAGCTCTTTGAGTTTGTCGTTAAGGTGTTTCGATGGAACTGGAATTCGTTGGTTGCATATCAGTTCGGTCTCCAACACCTCGAGTTGATGTATCTTTCCGGTCTGTGTTGTCAAAAACACCAATACACGCTGGAATTCCTTCTCTGTGACGCTGCCACCGAAGACACCGACTGTCAAACGCTCATGACCTAATAGCTTACAACCAAGTTTTCTGGATGCTTTTTCTGTAATGAAAGTGCGTTGACTTCCCCCGTCAAAAAGTGCTCGGAGTTGAAACTTTTCTTTGCCGCCAGTACACCAAATTGTGGCGGTTAGCATAAAGACTATCGGTTTTTCCTGGTTCTTCGTCGTCGCTTCCAAGTTGACGGGGACGCTTGTTGTGACGGTATCATTATTTGTCCGTTTTCCCAGAGAGTAATGTGGATCACACATTGATGTTGCGTGTCTTCCTCCGCACTTCTGGCATCTTATGTTGCTCCGACACTCCTTTGCTTGATGGTTCTTCTTGGTACATCTAAGCATCGCCTCTCTTTTCGGAGCAGGTCTTTTTTCTCTCGTAAAGATGTACCGGCGTCGCAGTTGTCAGCGGTATGTCGAGTCAACTTACACATAAAACATCGATCGCCCCTTGAGGACGGATTCAGTAGAGCCGCCGAAGTTTGACTCTTCCGTGCTTTCTCGTTGTCTTCATTTTTCTTGTGATCTGCTTCTTTTTTCCGCGGCTCGCCATAAGTATCCATAGCTTGCAAAGCAGCGAGGTTTTCTCGACTTAGTACTTCAAGTCTTAAAAAGTGAACTAACTTGGAAAGCGAATCTTCCGTCCTCCGTTGTGGAGATGTTCTTTCTTGATCGCTGGGATGCGAAGACTCTCTTGGTTGCGTTGTCGTCGCCGTTAGTGTGTTTCGTGGAACTATTAAGTCCTGCGGCTGCTCCATCACTAATTTCCTGTTGAAGTCTAGGAGTAGTTCTTTTGGGAGGGCACGTTGAACGATGGGAAATAACATAAAACTGAAGGTTTCCTGCTGTCTTCCCAACGTTTCCAGACCTCTGATGTTTGAGATCACTGTGTCGTAAAGACAACGAAGGCCACGAACGTCCAAGGCAGAACGCACTGGCTTGACATCGATCAGTCTTTTTAGGTGGGTCTGGACGAGCAGGTCTTGGTTTCCTAAGCGACTCTTCAACAATGTGACCGTGTCTTCGTAGCATCGTGCGGTCGACGGAAGTCCGGCAATCGCTGCTGCAGCATCTCCAGTCATTGCTGTCTTCAGATAGTTGAACTTGTCAACCTCTGTTAGTTCGTTGTTATAATGTACAACTTGGTTGAATTGTTCCCAAAATTCTTGCCACTGGCTGACGGAGCCGTTGAACTTCATCAGCTCGAGCTTCGGTAGCCTCACTCGAATTCTCGTTGTCGCACCAGTGGGGTTGTCGTTTCTATCGTTTATCGGTCGGCTTTGCTGATTCGGAAAGCCAGTCCTACCTCGATGTGCTAGTCTTGAAAGACAGGCTGTGATTCTATCGTTTTATTCAAAGACGTGAGTAAACTCAGTCTCGCTGTCTTGATCAGGGACTAAAGGTTCGATCTCGTTGTTCACGTCATTTAGCTCTACCTTAAGTCCCGTCAGTCGGTCGTGTAAAACGTTCGCATCTTCTGGCGTCAACTGTTGATTGAGTCGTTCGTTGCACTCATTCATGAGGCGTGTCACTTGAGTGCGAAGTACCTTACGTTTCTTGGTGTAGCGATCCATCGTTTGACTGTCTCGCTGCGGATGTCGCGTTCTTGGGAGACTCGTTCAGGGGTTTTCTCCCGGGTTTCGGCACCAATAAAATGTTGCGTTCACAGAGGGGAGTCGACACCGTACAACGGATAGTTAAACATTTAATCGCTAAAGCAAAGGTAAATTACACTAAAAGAAAAGGAATGCGCTCACAAGGTGACGACACCATCGTTCTGTCTCTTCGTGCACGTTTCAGCCGAGCGCCTTCTTCCTCTTTTCTCCTGATCTCGGCGAGCATACTTTTTTTTCTTCTCCCTATATGGGTGCTTGGTAATACTGTCCCTTTTGCACTTTATGGTTTCAACAGATGCTATTAACATTCGTTGAATACAAGGCACCACAGCCGATATTGAAACCTGCAAACCGCGGTTTCGAAGAAAGAGACTTAGACTGTGTTTCACTGCCACCTTGGCAGCGGATAAGTTATGCGCATATTTTTAACTTATTTAAAACTTATTTAAAAATATGAACGTCTATTACATCTGTTCAGTGTTTTCAATGCGGTCAAATCTTTTATAACATTTTACAGATACCGAGATCTTTTTTTCGGTCAATATTTAAAGGCCCTGAAGTCGGGATGTGCGAAAACGGAACATGCACAGAAACCCGTGAGTACATACTTCTATGGCGTGAGTAATGAGCAGAAAAGCTGAGGGAGAGGAGGAGATGAAAGCGTGCATGTCAGAACGCTAAGCTCTGGTTTGAATGATTAATGGAGAGACCTAAAGGCGACCTGTGTTTTTCTCCACGGCACTCGTCGAACGCGAATTAAACAAAACGGAGCGGTTAGTTTACAGAAGGCTTGTGGTGGTGGTGGCGGGGGGGGGGGGGGGGGGGGGGGGGGGCTGGATATTTTCGGTGAGATTTTAAATTTGTATTTGGAGTCCACCCTGCTTTGTTTGAAGTGAATTATTACGTGCAGGGGGAAGGTATCTGTATTGGCTCCAGCGTTGCCTCTATCCTTCGTGACATTTACTTAGCCAAGTGCGACCGAGCCATTCGTTTGGATATTGACGTGTTTCCTGTGTTTAAGGTTTTAGGTAATGGACAAATATTTAAAAGGTTAAACCGGCGCAAACGACAACGGACAGGGTAAAGAAGGACACAGACAGTGCGCAGTGCTCTGTGTCCTTGTTTACCCTGTCCGTTGTCTTTTGCGCTGTTTTAACCTTTTAAGTATGTCACACCAACTCGCCCAGGCTTCAACCTTAGGGACAACTATTATTGATTTCAAATACCACTGTTAATGGGGCTGTTGGTGAGGTCGTGCAGGATGTTTTGAATTTGTTTAAGAACTGTGACGGTCTGAATTTCACGCATGAGCGTCAAAATGTTCAGTTCCTGCGTGATAATGTGGATGCTTGGGCCAGTTGGTAACCATCCGCGCTGTTCCATCCAAGCAGTTCCTGCAATTTTAAATTTTCGTTTACAATTCAGAAAGTGTGATATGTACTGGTCCTACAGACCTCGGACTAAAAAGGTATTATTGCCTTACGACTCCGCTCACTCAAATCTAGTGAGGAAGAGAAACGAGTCTTCTTCCCTACGTGCAGCTCTTGAGAAGTAGTGTCGTCACGTGATTAATGACACCTTCATTGGACAAGTGCAGTTACTTGTGACCGCGGACTTCCTCAGTTCGGTTTTGCTTAGTGTTGCAGACAAGTTGTTAAAAATTCTTAAGAGTGGGTGTAATCTCGAGAAGAATAACAAATACTATGTGATATTTCAATGTTTATGGCAAAGTCGAACAATCTAATTTGGAACTGAGGAAACAGCAGGAATGTTGAAACCTTCCTCTGGTTACCTTTTAAAAACTATGAACCAACTAGTCCACCTAACCACTTTGCTTTAGGAATTTGCCTTCCTAATTTTGCGTGGCAGGTTTCTTTCGGTCCCATGAGCTATATGCTGTCAGTCAAATTCTGTCTAAAATCGTTTCATGGTTCATTTAAAGCATGACACGTGTCTTTAAAATAGGTAAAGAATGCTCAAAGAGAGCACCCTGGAAATTAGAAACTAAACAGGACAAGTAATTTTTAATGAACTTTAACCAACTCGTTTCCGCTTTGATTTTTTATATATGGCGTCTGATTAAACCTGTTTCTTCTTATAGACCTACAGTTGAGTCGAAAATATTACTGCATGTCCGCGTCCTTTTGTTTCGATCAATGTGTGGCAATTATTTATTTTAAACTAAGGCAGCTTTTCTTTGCTCTTACCTTAGTTTCAACGTAATATTTGTGTTATTTTGAAGTGACTGCTAGAAGAAATACGGATGCTAATTAATATATTCAGCAGAAAGCGTTACTAAACCTGCGAAAAAAACGTTGATTAGATTTAATTGAAGTTTGGGCATTTAGGACCTTCACTCTACCAGAGAAGATTCAGACCTATCCAACAAACTCCCAAGTTTTTCAATATCAAAAACTGAAGGTTTATTTTATTTCCCCTTTACGCGTACGGTTATCAGAGTTATTGGCGAGAACTACAAACAACTGAAAGCCAGCTATATTAGCAGTCGAATCTCGCATTTAAGGCTTTCAGTGAACAAAACGGATGACAATGCTCCGCCACAGTTTCAAATAATTTTGTTTGTTTTAATGTGAATTTCAGCAAGCATGTTTTGGGATAGCCGCTAATGGTGGAAATAGGTTCACCTCAAAGCGATTTAATAGAAGTTTATTTTTTTAGTTGCTCGCATAATTCTTGTCTCTTGACTTTGACTTCTGCTTTTTAGTCGCACTATTGGAATTTGTTTCCCAATCACCCACCAAATTGTACTAGTCGAAGTTATAATCCGGGACCCATAATGTTTGGCAACTATATAGCTAAAAGGCTATAGACGTCATATTAATAGGTTCGAAAAAATAAAAGAAGGAATTACACATCTCTTTTGTAATTAAGGCTCGTATAGAAACTACGTGGAGATATATTCCTAACTATAGATGCAAGAAAAATTCACAGTTTATTTCTCCTTGTATTATACAGATTATACTTTGTACAAAAACTGCATGGGGAAATGTTTGTAACTTTTTAGGTAAAATCATACTGAACTTAAGTGTCATCTAGGTGAAAAGCCAACCATAATATGTCAAAATTAGGTAAACTGAATTTTAAACCGAAGTGAGTTTAAACAAAGCGAAACAAAAACGAGCTCCGCGTTTAGGTGTAATAAGGTTTACTACCAATGTAGGAGAAGGAATAGTGCAAGTGTCATAAGAACTGCTCAACTACAAAAGTTTTCTTGTACTTCAAGGTTGTGTTCATGAAAAATAAAAAGTGACGACCGATTTTGTGTTTTCAAGGGCTACTTTATTAATCAATGAATAAGAACGTTGTGCAGGCACCAAGAAAAAAATATTAATCTTCTTCCAGATCCAACCGAAGATACATGTGGAAGGAAGGTACTCACAGTCAGTTCCGAAGTGAGTTTGTTGAACAGTGCATTTTATTTTGAGCTGAAGATGCTCGTTGATGAAATCTCTATCGCACACCGTGGAGGGCTAAAATGACCTCCTCAGCATTCTTTTTGTGCCAGAACTCCTGACAAGATATATTAATTAAAAATACATTGATGCTTTTCGCAATAAAACATGAGCAAACAGGACAAGCTTCCTTATAGATTGGTGGGAAATCACGTGTTTAAATTATCAGTAGGATGTCAGTATCACAGGATGACACGACAATGTCATTGGGTTTATAGATTTCTAGATTCTGTCGCTTGTCTGATGAGTAGCACCGTATTGGTACGATTGACTATTAATGTTTTTTTTGTAATATAACTGACGGCTGCTTAAAATGTTCCTCAAATTTTTGCAGCTTTATAGCTGATCCAACTTTAAAATAAGAAATAAACTTACTGTGATTTTGTTTTATAAGCGCAAAGTACAAAGACGTCAAGTTCCCGGTGTCTTGTCCATATCAAGAGGGAGCACACACTACATTAAATACTTAGTGAAATCGGAAGCAACATGGGCTGAACTCCAAGGAACAATTATGCGACGAATAACTTACGAACATCGCCGACGGCACGCTCGCTTTGCAGGCGACGTAGCAGCCACTGCGCTGATACCACGTGCAGAGCAAAAGCAGCCAAGCAAAATTCGTCGATATTTCGCAGCATATTCGCTCCATGGAGCCCATCTAGTCTTTACAAAATCATGTCCCGTGAGTTTTTGCATGGACATATCCCAAATGTCAGGTACACTTGAAGAATGCGTCAGGAGCTCCTCCCACGCCCCTTCACCGCTAATTCCTCCGCTATGCGCATATAGTCCACTACGGCGGTGCATATCGCGCTGACGTCTAAGGAGCATTGGTGAATGCTGTCCAACCGCAATGATAAGAGATCCTGAAGAGACATCTTTTTTAACCAAACAAGCACATAAATTCAGTGTTCCTCCATTGGGCACCTTGAGTTGCGCCAATGTCCGTGGTGGTGTCCATTTGGCACATCCTTAACCTAAAACTCACTATAAAAAAAAAACTATTAAAACAACATTTCCGAATAACAAATCTCAAATAAATTCGTTTATATTTTAGTGTCCAATGACAAAGACTAAAGTTCTTCAGCATATCGATGTATGAATTTCTAGTGCGTCGGAGCAATATTAATTAATTCCTTTATTCGTGGGTACCTTATAATACTTTTTTTAATGTTCTATGCAGGTCAATATTGATACAAGTTGTACACTTAAATGTAAAAATGGCACTACAGAAATGCTAAAGAATGGAACACAGTGCGTGGTAAGAAAATTTGTTTGATTTTTTTTTTGCGATAGCTAATATTGGCTTGAAAAAAATGCTAAGTAATTCACACGCCGCGTTATACATTTCTGTGTTGGCTTTTACATGTGTTTAGGTCACGAGATATTCTTGTGTTGAACCAGTGTTTTCAGTTTTTTTTATCTTCTTAAAAATCAGTAAGGGGGATTGGTGGCCAAGTACGTTTGCGCAGTGCTGCTTGGTGAGAGCACAAGGAGGTAAAACTCGCACTTGCGAACCTAGGGATCCTCTGTTCAAACCCCGCCCCTGAGCGTTCCAACTTGAATGAGTATCGTACCGGCGCGCAGTCGTGTATCGCTACTGCAGAATGCATGTTAAAATCCCCAGGCTAGTAGTCGTATACTACATTGGCTAAAGCTCTAATCCACAGCGTAAACCAGCGTCGTCATACCTCAAACGCGGACCGACCTCACAGTGTCTAAACACGAACTTCTAATAATGTCGTTCCACGCGTGGCGCGTGGAATGACGGCAGTCGTGGTGAGTGGGGGATTGCTGCTCGGGTGCAAGCAGCGTCTATGAGGAGTTTCGTAACTGAGCTAATCTAACAACGTTGGGTGATACCAAGACGTCCCGTGACGTCAGGTTATGTGTCGTTAATTTCCCTGCAATCTCTAGTAGATAAATAATTTAACAATATATTTTTCACTTCCCAAAACCAATTTTGAATGTATTCTAAACAAATTTATACGATGCTTTGAGCTTCATAACCCCCTCATGGATTTCATATTATAGATATAAAGTGCATGCATTATAGGATTTTGAAGACAAAAGTGGCTCATACTTCTGTTTTTATAAGTGTCAAATGAATAATTAAGAACTTCAGAGACAGTGCCAATATTTCGAAACACTGTAAAAATATGTTTAGCGTTACTTCCAAACTGTAATTTTGATACTTAAATTAGATGAACTAGTATGACCAATAATTCCAGGTCTTCGAAATGCGTTTGTACTCCACCTTAACTCAAAACAATGCGTGAGCTTGCTCAATGATTGTATTTATTTATTCTTTCCGTGTGTACTGACGACAAACACTACACTGCCTTTTTTTGTATTTTTCATTACGTTATCCGATGTTTTAGCCGCTTCCGCAATCAAAGATATCATTATGCTCGAGCAGAGGCCATAATTTCAACGCAAATAATAAATTATAGATGTCAAAGGTGACAGACATATTTATCATACATAAAACTGACAAGTTACGATAAAATAAGGCAGCTATGGACATTAATAATAACATCTTTCTTACTTGTTTTCACTGTGCATAAAAGAAGAATTTGGGCTTAGAACTGACACACGTAAAATATATATCGAACTTTTGAAATAACCTCAATGACCATTGCTTTTTGTAAAATTTTTTTTATCAGTGTCTATTTTCTACAAAACTATTTTATAACATGCCCAAATAATTTAAAAAAATTGTTACGTGTAGTTACACAGCCAATGACAGTTGTAGAAACTTCATATTTTTCCGAATTCTGATTATCTTTATAGTTTCGATCTACAGCAAAACGTACGTGGCCCTGGTTTTGGCGCAAGAATATACTGGTCAATGAAATCGGCATTTGTTCCAATGGACAGTGTGTTCAACGAGGTAAGAATGAGGGCTCATCACCGTGAATATGTGCGAACATTCTTCCAAGTGATACTAATTATTATCAAGGAACCATGTTTTTATGTTCTGAATGCGATTTGGTTTTACTTGATATTTGCACCATGACTATTAGATAATTCATTTTTCTTTACATGATATTTTTGAGGATGGCAACTAAGTAACCACTCGTTCCCGAAGTGTCAAAGAAAGCAAAATATTATCTTACAAGAGTATAATGAGCTACATTTTATAGCCACCACACCTGTGTTATTTCCAAAATATCAGTTTGGGGCTTAAAAACATGGACTCACTGAAAATTATTCAGTTTCTAGAGAAAATGCTACACGTCTACAAAATTGCACGGTCCTTGGTCACAGGAAACCAACGAAGTTGTCAATCAGCTTTGAACTTAAAACTAGCCTTTACTTTTTTCTATATATCAATTCATTAAAATAATTAAGAAAACAAAGCATCATGCACCAACTGAATATTATGTTGGCGCTTCGTATCATTCTGTATAGCCATCAACCCTCTAACAGTCCGAAATCGGGTTAAGTGTATTAATAACTAAAATAAAATAAGAAATATAAAAGACTAAAGAATAATATGCTTTTTGAAGCCTAGGTTACTACCAAGAATACATAGTTTTCTTTACTTATCCCGCAATTTCAGTTGATATATTATGACTAATTTGCAACGAATCGCTTCCACTCCCTGTGCCCTACAGTATCACGTGTTCTACACTCTGCCTTCAGCTATGACGCGCCGCGGACGAGCGGGCGCGTTGCTTGTAGAAATGCGGTGGCTGCGTGTAGAAATGTGTCCTCCTGTGATTTTTTTTCTCCTTCTTCTTCTTTTCTTTTTTTTTGTTCCGTTTGCCACATTTTGTGCCACTAAAGTTGGTGACAGGTCAAGAACGAAGTGGAAGCTCCCCCCCACCCCGTTCCACTTTAGTAGTCCGAACGCTGTAGGGGAGGCGACCTCCTCTCCACCGTTCGCTCCGCTGAAGCGGAAAGTGGTGGGAGGAGCTTCCACTTTCTTCTTGACCTGTCACTGACTATAGTCGCCAAGCCTTAGCCATGTTGACAATGCGGCGCAGGCATTTCTAGTATCCCGTGATGGCACACAAAAATTAATTTTATCTGCCGCACGTTTCTGTGCAAATCGTGCTGCGACCAAAATATCTATCTTAGGCTGATCTTGGTTGGTTTCATGTGCATTAACTGTACGTGCAAAACGCACATGCCGCATTGTAACCTTTGCACCTGATACGGGGTCTGGTGAAAGACTGAGGCAAATTGATGCGATTTTTCATTTGTCGAAAAGTCGGTCCACTTAGCACCGTCACAAATTCCGATGCACATCACAGGCTGCGCGAGAGCTTCCGCTTACGACCGTTGAGTGGCGCGAAGAGGGCGATAAACTGTCATTTCGTCATTCGCGTTTTCTTTTTTCTTTTCTTTTTTTTTTGGGGGGGGGGGGGATTTTACGTTTTAAGAAAAGCTTTCACTAAAATTCAAAAGAAGTATTTGCGTCGCGAGACACATTTTGAGTTTAGGGAACTTCAAAACACGCTTCCATTTGATCTGTTTACCGCAAAACTCAAGCTTGATTCGGACTAGCTTCGAAATACACTGAGTGCCCAAACACATTGCTTTGCGCAATTGGGAAGGACACGTACGCCAAAAGTAACCTTTTCTCGCAAAAACAATACAAAAAATAATTAGCGTAAATGTTGCGTCGCGAGATTCATTTTAAGCCAGGTGCGACTGAAAGAGATGTTTTTATTGCGAGACGTAAGCCAGAAGTACGAGGGGCTGTTTTTTTTTTTGTTTTTTTTACTTTCGACAAACTAGGTAAAAAAAGGAGGGTATAAAATATTACTATACACTGACTGTACATCTGCTTCTCCATATAATCGCTGGAATGAGTAAGGCTCTCTGCCGCATGAATTTTGAATCCTTCCGATGAAGCAGAAGTAAAAAAAAAAAAAAGTGGGAATATCATTTGTCAATATGCACTTAATGTATATACGCATTGTAGCTACTTTTTACATATTCAACGCGCGTATTTAAACAGTTATTATGACGTGGTACTAGCTCCTTCTATCCCCTTCCTAAAGAAGGTACAGCTTTGGCTCTCCAACATTCCACCACTACTTCCGCAGGACCTTCAGTCGCCACGGATGTTTTTCGCTAATCCCACACGTCAAGGGCGCCTGCCCGTCTTTTTTGACACTTAATGCAGTATCCTGCGTTGATATTACATGTTTGTGGTGACTGACGGCTTTGTTGATGCATAATGAGATAACTGAGAGCCCACGTCGCAACCTTTTTTTAGGAGTGCTTTCAGAAGTTTGTGCATCCTCATAATACGTCCCTAAATCTGTGCGGTGATTTTGTGGAGAAGTAACCGGATTATGCATCTGCATCTGGTGTCTATTAAATACAATCTGATCACTCTTTTAACTTGTTCTTACCCAGTTCAACGGTCTCTAAAAAAACAAGCACAGTATTTATAAAAACATGTTTTAGATCGCTCAAACGAGTCCCGGAACGTAAATATTGCGCTAAAATATATTTTTTTGTGTATTGAAAGTTTGTTTTAGTGACATTCATTTTATATTCAGGCCCTCAGAAGTGACGTTTTAGTAGTTCAGCATCCTTATTAGTTAGGTTCAAACGCGTGAGTTGTCGAGTGGGCTGTGTTTCTGGTACTGCAAACGTAAAAGAAGAAAAAACAAAAACTGTTGCTTCAATTGACGCTATGAAGGTGGTTGGACAGCGAAGCTGTAAACGACACCCACAACGATTACCCATTGTGGCGTCAGTTTAAAATTCACACACGTTGCTCTACAAAGATTGAAACCAGAGGCGAATGAAATGTACACATCCTCATTTTTATTACTTCACAGCGACATTCATGGCTACTTTATGATCAGTGTGATGCATACTGAGATTTTTAGTTCTTACTGTAGAGACATTTTTTCTAAGGTTAAATCAATGCATGATTCATGAAGGGTGGTTGGTTCAGTTGCATTGGTAAAGCACATGTTATATATGAAAGCGTATTGACGTCCCTACGTGATTTCTATGCTGTTGTGTACTTTTCCACTAGGAGTAGCTTACGCAACCGTAATCTTTACCGAGAAACACACGCGGAGAGGAGGAACGTGCTTCGCATTGTTCGCAGGCGCCGTAATCATCCATTATGCAGTTTGCACTTCACACGACGGCTTCGAATGACGTCAACTTCTTTCGAAGCAGCAGCAAACCTAATCTTTTCCGGAACTCTTGAGAGGGTGTACCTATTGCTCACACGCGTCTTATCATCCATCATGTGGTTTTGATGCTTGTTTTGTGGTTTTCTTTATTAAAACCGATACTGAGCTGGTATGATGTGCGCCTTATTGCATGCCTTATTTCAAAAGAGATATGCTGTTTTGCCTTCAATTGTTCGCCGGGAGTTTTTCGTTTATAACGCTAACGACACGAACACTTTCTTGGCTGGTAGGGGTATACAGCTTCGCTGTGAAAACCCCTTGACTACGACCGGAAGCATCTGACAAAAGCGCAAACAACACGCAACAAACAGGGATAAAGTCGAAATCACACAGGCCAAGCGCTGATTCTCAACTGGACTTTAATCAAAACAAAAGCAGCTACACAGAACATATCACGGGATGGCCAATCAACGCGTATCTCAAAAGGCAATAAATTCGCTGTGTACACGCAGCGTCGTTTGGCTCACGCATTTTGTACCCCCTTTTTCGATCGCAAAGAATTCTTATATTTCCCTAGTGATTCGGTGTTTGCCCTTGCCAACAATCTCTGCTTTCATAAATATGGGTCGACATTCACGACTAGCCTTTCCCCCCTCCTACTACTTAGGATCGTAACGACAGATCATGCTCCCCAAATTTGTGGTTAACACAGATCATGATCCCCCAATTTGTGGTTAGCAGATATCATGACCTCCCCCCTTTGTGGTTAACACATCTTTATTCGTCGTTTGGCTCACGCATTTTGTACCCCCTTTTTCGATCGCAAAGAATTCTTATATTTCCCCAGTGATTCGGTGTTTGCCCTTGCCAACAATCTCTGCTTTCATAAATATGGGTTGACATCCACGACTAGCCTTTCCCCCCTCCTACTACTTAGGATCGTAACGACAGATCGTGCTCCCCAAATTTGTGGTTAACACAGATCATGATCCCCCAATTTGTGGTTAGCAGATATCATGATCTCCCCCCTTTGTGGTTAACACATCTTTATTCGTCGTTTGGCTCACGCATTTTGTACCCCCTTTTTCGATCGCAAAGAATTCTTATATTTCCCTAGTGATTCGGTGTTTGCCCTTGCCAACAATCTCTGCTTTCTTAAATATGGGTCGACATCCACGACTAGCCTTTCCCCCCTCCTACTACTTAGGATCGTAACGACAGATCGTGCTCCCCAAATTTGTGGTTAACACAGATCATGATCCCCCAATTTGTGGTTAACACATCTTTATTCGTCGTTTGGCTCACGCATTTTGTACCCCCTTTTTCGATCGCAAAGAATTCTTATATTTCCCTAGTGATTCGGTGTTTGCCCTTGCCAACAATCTCTGCTTTCATAAATATGGGTCGACATCCACGACTAGCCTTTCCCCCCTCCTACTACTTAGGATCGTAACGACAGATCGTGCTCCCCAAATTTGTGGTTAACACAGATCATGATCCCCCAATTTGTGGTTAGCAGATATCATGATCTCCCCCCTTTGTGGTTAACACATCTTTATTCGTCGTTTGGCTCACGCATTTTGTACCCCCTTTTTCGATCGAAAAGAATTCTTATATTTCCCTAGTGATTCGGTGTTTGCCCTTGCCAACAATCTCTGCTTTCATAAATATGGGTCGACATCCACGACTAGCCTTTCCCCCCTCCTACTACTTAGGATCGTAACGACAGATCGTGCTCCCCAAATTTGTGGTTAACACAGATCATGATCCCCCAATT